TTTTTTTTTTTTTCCTCTTAATAAAAAGAAAAGGTTTACTTTAAAGATCAGTATTTAAAGTGATTCGTGGTCTTGTTAATCGTCTTACAGGAAGACACGTGGTATGGGAGCTGGGCGCAAGCTCAAGTCTCACCGCATTCGGCAAAGGTGGGCCGACAAGGCTTACAAGAAATCTCACCTTGGGAATGAGTGGAAGAAGCCATTTGCTGGTTCATCTCATGCCAAAGGAATTGTGCTCGAGAAAATGTGATTCTTGAATTTTTTTTTCTTGCCTGTTGGCTTCTTCTTTTCTTTTTTCTGTTCTTATTTTGGGTCTAATGATTGTAGTATATAATATTCACAGAGGCATTGAGGCTAAGCAGCCCAACTCTGCCATTCGTAAGTGTGCTCGTGTGCAGCTGATCAAGAACGGAAAGAAGATTGCTGCTTTTGTCCCCAATGACGGTTGTTTGAACTACATTGAAGAAAATGTGAGTTTTTTAACTTGTTCAGTACCTTTTATGTGTTTCTTGTTTATGGATGTGATATACTTGCAATTTTGTTGTGATCAGTGAACACGTTTGAATTTATAGGATGAGGTGTTGATTGCTGGATTTGGACGTAAGGGACATGCGGTGGGAGATATTCCCGGTGTTCGGTTTAAAGTGGTGAAGGTGTCTGGGGTTTCACTTTTGGCCCTCTTCAAGGAGAAGAAGGAAAAGCCTAGATCTTAGGTTGTTTCTTTAATCTTTTCTTTCTTTGTTTCTTTCTTTTGATTAATGACTTGATCAGCTTTGGTGTGTAATTTTGTGGCAATTTGTTATTGAGAGAAACTTGCTTAAGATGAATAGATTTACTCTCAAGACTTTGGCATTGTCATAATTATCCTAACTAGTATTCGATCTTGTGCATATGGAAAATAAAAATTTATATATTATATGTACGTATATGATATTTAAAAATTTAATTTAGATAAAGTGTGTATTACATTTTAAAATTTTGAGTTTATGTAAATGTATAATATAAATATAACATAAATGTATAATATAAATAT